TTTTTTAGAAATATTCTCTGATGATTACCTCTTAAAAACATGAACGTTATGTCCCAATATAGTGTGAGATGTGCTGTGTGTGTGTGTGTGTGTGTGCGTGCTCAGCTTGTCTCTGTGTATCAGGCTGGACAGTCAGTAACTTAACTCTTAAGCGATAACAAGAGGACACTCGGCTCAGAAACAGTGAAGTCAGAGCAAAAGTGACTCTAGTCTGCTTGCATCAGTGCAGTTACAGCTATTTTTAAAAAATTGTGTACCGGTACATTTACATTGTGTATAAGCAATATGTGGAGAGCTATTTGAGTCTTATGGCATCACACGTAGCAGCTGATAGTTTTTTTTTCTTTTCTTTATTTATATTTTCTCTTCAGAGTTTTTTGATTAATCTTTCTGAGGCTGATCATTTTACCACCACTGCTGAGATATAATGTTAGTTAGCATAACGCTCAATTCTATCTGTTAACTCCAGGCAGTGATGCAGAGGACAAGGAGTTACTGATGTTTTGGAGATTCATGATTTTCATGAGCTGCGAAGTGGCTCGGTGGTTAGCACCGTCGTTCACGTCCCTGTGAGGACACCCAGGATCTTTCTTTCTTTTTTTTTAAAGATTTTTTTTCTGGCATTTTTGCCTTTATTAGTCAGGACAGTGAGAGAGTGAGACAGAAAAGGGGAGAGAAGAATGGGGAGAGACGTTGCAGCAAACTGTCGAGAGCAGGAGTCGAACTGACAAACGCCGCGCTGGGGAACTATAGCCCCTGTTCATGGGTCGCCCGCTCAACCAGGTGAGCTATAGGGGCACCCACACCCAAGATCTTTCTGCGTGGAGTTTGCATGAGTCTGCGTGGAGTTTGCATGTTCTCCCTGGGTTCTCTCCGGGTTCTCCTTCTTCCTCCCACAGTCCAAAAACATGTTGAGGCTAATTAGTGATTCTAAATTGTCCGTTGGTGTGAATGTGAGTGTGCTTGGTTGTCTGTCTCTAAGTGTAGCCCTGTGATAGACTGGTGACCTGTCCAGGGT